TTTAATTTGGTCAATTTTTTTTTTTGTTTGTTTTGGTTAACCAATGGTCAAATTTCATTCATTTGGTCCTCTGCTGCTAATTTCTCAAAGGTTTGGGATATTCACTAGCACAAATTGAAGGTGATCGTAAAATCTGAAAAAAAAGTGAAAGGTTTGGTACTGATATTGCAATTTCTCTAAAATTATTTATTGTAATTCTATCATGAAAATAATGATCATTCCTGGATTCAAACTTTACTTAAATAGCTTTCATTATCATTGCTACTCGATGTGAGGATGAAAGGAGAATTGATTCGTTTGAATATATTTTTCAAACATATCACCATCGAGTCAACTCCATGAACTTGTTGACCATAAACCTATATAATCATATTGAGATAATTATATATGCATAATTGAATATTATCGAGACATCTTTTGAAATTTATTTTGACAATGCATCTTTCATTATTATTTTAAAGTTTCTTTTCAAAAAAAAAATCCATTTGAGTACCCTAAGCTGAAATTCTTTTGTATATAACTAGTTAGGCGCACGTGCAATGCACGTGTGTTAGTGTAGTTGGCTATTTAATAGCGTGGAATGATTTTTGGTTATTTTACACAATTATAATTATAGAATTTCAACGAAAGAACGAAAATAATGACCTTAAAGAATATTGTTTAGTAAGATGAATTTTGTTGTGTAAGGCAAAAAGATATCGCAAGGTTTTATATAATGTCAAATGAATTAGGTATGCAAAAAGTTATATTATGATATTGATTGGCAAAAGATTAGAAGTGGAAAAGTTGGCGAAAAGTTTTCAAATGAATTAGGTATGCGAAAAGCTATAGATATGAAAATCTGATTCTCCGGGTCATTAGAAGAATATCTGAATGGCAGACCATAGTTCGCCCTTATGTTCAAATTTCCTACCGAGGAAATCATTTCTACGCCACGAGAAAAGGACTCTCCTGCCTTTCACATGTAAAATATCCCCCACAATGTACTAATAAATTCTCTCTCTTTAAGTTTTAATTATTTCTGGTTCTTGGTTGGAAGATTTTCGGGGACCTTTATTCTGACCACATGCACAAACTGCGAATTACTATTCACATACTTTATCTTCATCGAAAATATGTAAGCTTTTGCAAGTTGCAACACTTGATTCCAATTATTTTCCGTGGATCTAAATAGTTATGTTCAGCGGTTAGATCTAGACACGACATGAACAGTGGTGTTAAAATGTACCATTTTACAATTTTTATTTGCAGTCTTAAAACTTGAAAAATATACAAAACTATACAAATAGTCAACGATATTGTATTCTAATGCTATTTGGCATGAATTTCCTGGGGTTGGGACCATCCGTTCGGCTTAGAATATGTTAAATCTACTAATGTTATATGCTTGCCTATTTATTTGACTTGATCATATCAATATTCTTAAATATAAGGAAATTTGTTAAGAATAATTTATAACTCATTTGATTCTAACATAATTAATTTAATTAACTGTACATAACCATTGGAAAAGCCTCTCACGGAGAAGAAAAAAGAAAAGAGGGCAATAGCTGACTAAACTTCGGGCATTGGTTAAAAAAACAATTATAATACAAATTGTAAGTGAAGGGTGGCTTCAAACAAGAAGACGCCAGTAAATTATTCAATCAAATAATATTGAGTATTCGAGAAATAAATGGGCCATTTCTTTGAAAAATCGTGCAAATATACAAATGGAACCTAACAATACATTTCCTCCGTTTATATACAATTCATCCTTCTCCATTTCATTTTTTTTTCTTGCTCTCATAGCGTAGACATTTTTACTATCAATTCTTCCGTCTCAATTTAATTCAGTAAAATTACAGTGTATTGGTATTAATTAAAACATGTGACGGCCACATAGACGAATGCTAAACACCTTTGAGATTATTAGCCCCTTTACATTATCCAACATTAAAACCTCGTTTTTCAAACTTAAAATTTCCA